ATTATTAGCTGAATGATACCTTGAGAAGTGAAACAAACACGGCTGCGGTCAGGGCAAAGAAAGACTTCGCGATGGTCGTTTTAATGAAGTTCCTACGGGGCAGAAAAGTTCCGAAACCGCTTAACAAAGCTTGGCTGTGTGTGTTTGTGTCGAAGTATGTGTGTCGGTGTGTGTATGTTTGTGATTGTTGGTGCATATGTTTATCGGTGTGTGTATTTGTCGGTGAGCCTACTTGACCGGAAAATCAATCATAACTCTTGTTCCTGTTGCGTCTGGAGGTAGTCGACAGGCAGCAGAGTGTTTATTAGACGATAAACTAAACTGTACAACCAATCGAGGGGTTTATATACCCCAATGAGATCATGGCTTGAACGCGAAAGTGATAAGAATCATTAGCAGTATCAATAACTCCTTACTACTACAACACCTCCCCTTAAGATGGACGTTCTAAGCGTACGTCTCCTTCTTGGGATCGACCATCAATCGCTTCGGTGCGCGTCGTGATATGGTTGGCGTTGTCCATCAATTCCTTGAGTCTCAAAAGGAGTCGTTCTTGTGATACTGTCCATTGCTGATGTGAATTTCGGTCCGCCCGCAATGGTAGATTGTTTTGTCTCTCTTTCTCCTGTAACATTGGCTGACGCTGACATTGGCAGCAGCTGTAGCTCAGCGAATTCTGTTGTTGGTACGGTGGTGTGTTCATCACTATTAACGTAAGCGTAGCTGATTAGCATGTCTCTTCCAGATTTCTCCATTTACTGCTATGTCGTAGAGTCTGTCTTCATGTCGTTGTAGTACTTGACCTGGCGTATGCTTTGGCCATCCGGAACGATAGTCCTTAGCCCACACGAAGTCTCCAATGTTGAATTGTTTCTCTTTGGCTCCGTGATGGCGGTTATATTGTGCCTCCATTTTCTGATCTCGTTTGTTGGAGTTCGTAATGGCACACGGTTTATGAAGNTTGAGTCTTGTCCGGATCTGTCTCCCGAGGAACAGTTCTGCAGGTGACTGTCCTCCTGGTGCGGAGGGGTAAGGAGTTCGACGATAAGTCTGCAGGAAGTTTTGTAGAGCTCCTGTCGGCGCTGAACTTTCCTTCATTTTTTTGAAGTTTCTTTTGAAGGTGTCGACAAACCGCTCTGCCTGACCGTTAGACTGTTGGTGAAATGGCGCAGACTTGATGTGTCTGATACCGTTCTTGGTGCAGAAGTCATGGAACTCAGCAGATGTGAATTGAGTTCCATTGTCTGTTACCAGTGTCTGCGGATTGCCAAATTGGGCGAAAAGACGGCGTAATTCTCTAATTGTGCAACTTGTCGTCACTGATGACATTTCCACGATCTCCGGCCACTTCGAGTAAGCGTCGACAATGACGAAGTACATCTTCCCATTCATAGGTCCGGCAAAATCGGCATGTATACGATTCCATGGTTTGTCCTCCATCGGCCATGAATGAAGCGTAGTCTTGACTGGATTCTTAGCAGTTTCCTGGCAGCGACGGCATGTTCTCACGAAGGTTTCGATGTCGTCGTTTATGTTTGTCCAATAAACATAGTTTCTGGCGAGCATCTTCATGCGAGTCATCCCTGGATGTCCGTCGTGAAGTTCGGAAAGTACTGCTTTTCGTAAAGTATCTGGAATGACAATGCGATCTCCGATTAATAGGCATCCATTCTGCGTGGAGAGCGATTCCTTGAGTG